TTTGTTAAGCAGAGATAAATTAATACAACTTATATACTGTTGAAGTACCAATAACTTCAAAAACGTTTTGTATCCGATTATATACTGTTGAAGAAGTTAAGAACTCTATAGCTTATACCCTCCTATATTAAGATGAGGCAAGCACCCTCATTTCAGTTCATTATCTGACCGCAAACGTTCTTAAACATTGCATATTGACTAGCTAGGACCACAATCGGCGACATCCACCATTTAGCATAAGGATATGGGGTTCCAGAATGTTTGAGATAATTTTCCAAATGCCACGAGATAATAAAATATCAAATCACATCAACCAGATAAATGAACAAAATGACTATATATAGATACACACACATATCAGGGGAGCTTAACCTGATTAAACCCTGCTCTAAATGCTTCCATTTGTCGCATAATTCCAGTCTTGACAGTTGCATCAACAACCAACGAAATGTACTCGTCTAGGTTATTGATATCAACCTGAAATGTTGAGAAAGAAATGTAAGACACATTCTCACAAGAGTAGTAATGAGGAGAAATACAAAAGGAAGTTGGAGCTGCTGTACATTTTCATCCCCTTTTGTCAAAATGTAGTCAGGGTAACCAGGAAGTGTGAAATCCAAGCAGAGGTCTTCAATTGGAGCACCTCGGAAACATAAATTGGAAATAGCATCACTATTATCACCACCCACTGCTTCCAAATATTGTTTGCGACAAACAAGGAGCTGCAATTCTTGCAAAATCTTGCCAAACTCGGAATCAAACGAAAGAATGTCATACAAATCAAGCTCCTGCAATAAATAAATAAGGTCACTAACCATGATGTTAAAAATATCTCAAGAGAAAGCCAGTATAAGTTCGAATATTGCAGTTGTGGCAGTTTACCTGACCAAGTACAAGCTTGTAAAATGCTGTTGACAATGGTAGATCCAAAAGCCGTCCATCTTGAAGGGCTTTAGCCATCACCCGCCCAACAAGACGGAAATGTTCAATTACTTTATAAAACTGATTACCTTCTGATATATCAGCATTTGGTGGCCAAGGCCGGGGAAACAACCCGAGGGGAGCTTGCACCATATCTCCATCAACTACAGGTGAATTGTTTTTTCCATTTTTATCTTCAATGCCATCAATTTCCATTGATGACTTTTCAGATGAAAAGTTTGATCTCCACATCCCAAGACCAACTTTTTGCAGGTCATGACTTAATAATGTGTAAAACTCAAGGGTAGGACCCAACCCAGTTCCTACTTCCCCAAAATATTCTACTTCAAGCACCGCCTTTTGACTAGAATACATCTCCATCACTTTTGCAGCAGAATCCAAAATGCGGTTTCGAGATACACGAACTTTCTGTCGCTGTAATCTCCCAACTCTCACCTCTCTTTCATTTGTTGATCCATGACCATCAGCGCCTTGCTGCTGCTGAAGGCGGTATAATGCGCGTGACAATCCAAAAGCGGTTGAATAAAAATACTGCCGCCGAGTCTCAAAAGGAAACAAGAAAGGGCATGCTTTGGTTAACTGGTAACACCATGATGGAAGACTTCCACTGCATAGGGCTAGGGCATCTTGAATTTGCCTAGCTAATTTTGGCGTGAGCTTGCTATTGACAAAATCCTCCTGAGGAACTCTAGCACCTGTAGCACTCAGCTCATCTAGACTACTACTTTTACCCTCAGCAAAACTATCAGAAACCATCTGCACTCTTAGACGAGTCGTAAGCTGGTTCAAACCCTCTAACACGCGCAGCAATGCTAATATATTATATGTAGGATTGGACTTTTCTAGATCGCATGGAAGTTCGCCTCCCAAAATGCTATCTAGAAGAGACATTCTATGTGATTGAGAATCAGGATTGGAAATGGAAGCAGAAGCAGATTTCGTATATTTTGATGGTGTAATTGAACTTGATCCAGCAGTTGCTCGTTCCACCTGGCTGTCTGACCTTTGGTATGTGATACTGTAAATATCGCTCCATAGCCTGCTTCCATCACTGGACATGAACTCACTGCTACCATACCTCTCATCATCATCTTCATCCAGCACAAGTTGTCGCTGAATAGCCTGATAGATAGTCAGATGCCTGTTAAGCTGCTTCGCACCAGCAGTAAAGATTAGTTTTGGAGGCTCATTACAACTACCAAAAAGAGGCCGCCCTTGCCGATCTCTACCACCCCTTATACCCCTACCATTAAGAGGTCCAAGCCCAGCCATGGCGGCAGCAGCAAATGACAGCGCACCCCTTGAACCAAAAGAACTGCCACTCCTAAAATCAGTAGAATCTGAGCCCCTAACTGTAGCTGCTCTGCTACTAGATCCAGAAGCTGGGTTATTCTGGCTATCACTTGCTGCTGGAGCAACAACACCATCCTCAGCTGAGTCTCCCAACTTCACATCATGCACTTTATCAGGCATGCAAACAGGAAGAGAATCATCTCGTAACAACTGGAAGAAAAGAATTACCTCAGTAAGAAACACAAAAACGAAAGGTCCCCAGATCTATCACTAGCGTCCAAAAAAATTTATCACTCCTATTCCCAAGGGGTAGGCAAATGTTTATGTAAGGTAAAAGAACAAATCTTATCAGGGATAGAGATAAAAAATAATTACAAAAACAGAGAACAAGATATCTTCCTCAAACTATCAGGCAAAAGCAAAAGAAAACAGAAAAGAATGTGGGCATCCTATGGGCTGTGGATTAATGCTTCACAATTTTGATGTAATAACGAGGGTGGGTAGATTTTATAACCACATATTAAAATAAGGTTCAATCTCCAACCACTAAACCAATCCAACTCATGAATAGAAGCAGATCTTGCTAGTAGCACAATGCAAAGCCTAGTTCCCACCCCACAGCTTATCACCTAGGAATCATTCAACAACTCCTAAGATGGCCTTTTTTAGCAAAAAGTAATTAAACCACTTACATCTTCATGGTCATCATCTTCATCATCAGAAATATCATCATCTTCAATCACTAGCGCATCATCAATCTCCACCGGAGAAACATCCAATTCCTCATACTACAAAGAACAAATTAGAATAAGCAAATGGGTTTGGGTTATTCCTCTCCCTCATAGAAACATGGGTATGAAGTGGTAAAACCATTAAAACAATTGATTTGATGATATTAACAACCATTACTAACATTATAACTTCATAAGAAGATAAAAGCCTCATTTCAAATAGCACAAATTGGTGGCACACGAGTGTATTATTTTATTGTTTCAAATGGATAAACTGAAATTGAGCAAAAAATCCTGCATATTTACGCATCTAACTTTTATTGGGCAAAATAATAATTTTGTTAGACATCATAAAGAATTTCATATCTACAAAGTACCTCCAACATAAATTGTCATCGTAGCATCTATACCAGATCTCATCTTAATCTCCAACCCGAGAAACAAAATTGAGGCGGATATAGAGAAATTCAATTTTAATCTTCTTTATGACTTCAATTAATGTTATCTGACTGGACACAGAAATATTGAAATGTTCATTGTGTACAAAAGAAATAAATCCAATAAAAGTATCAGAATAGCATGAGTGCAAACAAACAACAGTACCAGATCAACCATAACCAAATTTTACTTGTGCTTCATAACCTGGAGTATCATATAGCATACCTCAGAACTAGAATCTCCAGCAACTGGTTTCAGTTGTGTATCTTTATCAATGGCTGCTCTTCTACGAGAAGCATTTCTCGTTTGAGGTCCTCTTGCTTCTTCCTGAGCAGGCTTCAAAACAGCTTTACCCTTTCCCTTCGATGAGCTTGTGCTTTTCTCTTGTGATAGCTCCTTCCTGGAGGCATCCCCTATGTTAACAGCTGATCTAGATCTAGAAGATTGACGACGAGTGGTGGAAGCAGGAGTTGAGGTGGATGGAGATGAAGCCCCAGCTCCAGCTGGTGTTGTTCCAGATTCAGAATTTCCCACTGACGCTGAGGGCTTCTGACCAGATTCACCTCTTTGAATTCGGGGCCAGAGAAAATCCTCAACTGCTGCTAAACTTGCCAATGGATCTATCAGCACAATATTCGATGAATAATCACGGAGTGATTTTTCTCCTTGGGCACGACAGAGCCGCAACTTAAAAGGCTGAGATAGTGCACTTAACCCAGATGACAGATGAGCACTACCACTGGAGGACCTAGGTGAATGACTAAGCACAACTGGAAAACGCTCTAATGAGGATAAAGCATTCTGAAGCTTCTGGACCAAGACAGTCATAGAAGCCATACTACCTTCATCTACATTAGAAGGAAGAGCAATAGCAACGAATGACTTAAACCTTTTAAGAGCTTGTTGACGAAGCTTGGGCAAATTAGCTTCTGAGATCCTGTCCTTGGAGAAATACCCACAAGAAAAGTAATTTAGTAATGCTGCAACAACACCACTGCCAATAAACTCAAAAGTGGATACACCATCCCCTTTGCTTAGTTCTCCCAGCATTTCAGATATCACACCAATCAAGTACTCTTCCTTGCTGATGGAAAAATCAGAAAGACGAGCCCCAGAAGCCTTAGATTTTCCCTTTGCTTTTGTCTTTTGATCGTCAACACCAGCATTTAACTTCATGCAAAGATTCTTCAAGTGCAAAAGATCATCTGTAACTCCCACTTCAGCAGACCCAGGGTCAGATGGGAAGTACTTGTCTTTAAATGCTTTAGCACTTGCAGCGACAGTTGTGCGTAAATTGGAATTAACAGTTGGAATTTCTACAGAACTTGGAGGAGAACCAATGTTAATAGAAGCAGGCGTTTTAGCTTCTTCCACATTCCCTTCCGGATTAGAGTTACCAGAACGCCGCCTATAACGCCTCGAGCGTGATGATGTTCCATGGGTAGAATCATTGTCCTTCTCAACAGAAGCAACTTGAGAAGGAGAATTTAGATTACCAGCTAAAATAAGTTGGTCTACAGCATGAACCACTCCTTCTCGAACAAAAACTTTTGAGAAAGTCCCTGGAAGCTTTTCCATAAGAATCTCAGCAATTTGGAGGGCAGGAACCAAGACATGAGGATCTTTCCATGCCAAAACACCAGCTAAGAAACTGCCAAGTAACAAGACATTAAATTGTAAAGGGACAAATATACTCTTATCTGTATTAAAACACCAGCTAAGACACTGCTGAATAAAAAATAAATAAAATTGTCACCATGCACAATGACGATCCTGTGTAAAGGGATAAATACTTTTATCTGTATTATACAGTGCACAACGACCATGCTGTGTAAAGGGATAAATAGACTCTTATTCGTATTATAATACAATAAGAATACATTTATCCCATTAGGTTGAACATATCATGAAATTACAACATAATTAACTTACATACCTTGATATGTTTGTCACACCTAGCAGAGACTGGATCATCTCTGAATTGCTGAAGTACATCAATTTTCCAATAACTGAGAGACATTTGTGACGAACAGGGCTATTGACACTTGAACCATAAATCTGCTTGAGAATTCAACAACAGAAGACTTATGACACTAAAAATCAAAAATGAAAATTGAAACGTGTTAGGGGCGTGTGGAAACTAACCTGTATCAGGACCGGAAGGAGATCCATTCCAAATTGCTGAAGAAGCAAAGGCTGGTCATTCAACAACTTCTCTCGGGCTGAAACCTCAAGAACACTTCCGTTTGCATCTTCTTGTTTCCCAGAGTTGCTGGCAGGAGATTTTTCAGAGCAGAACCTTTCATAAATATATTGGAGCTGACTGGAAGGGATATTGTTCCTTGTGGCAGTTGAGGAAGAAGCTCATTTGCAAGATTAACAATCTCAAAAATCTATCCAGTCAAACAAAAAATAATTCAAAAGAACTCCAAGAAAAGTAACACAATCAGTTGACAAATAAATCGAAATGAAAAAGTATAATTATAAAATAACAACAACAGCTAAAAGGATAATAGAAAAACCATTTGTACTATGCCCTACCGAGGTGCAACTTATACACTCTAATATAAATAAATCCACCACTTGGCGACTTACAACTTTGAGAATGGGCAAAGAAAAACCAATTAGTATTGGATTATCATGCAACCAGATTTTGTTCTTTTCTGGACAAGCAAAAAACTTAATCCCAAATTACATGGCAACAAGCCATTATTTTGCCCTTGAAGCTAATAACAGATAAAACAGCCAACTATTCTTTTTTTATTTCAAAAAAATAAAAATTTAATCTAAGCACATACCAGCCAGATTGCTGCAAGCTGAAAAAGAATCAAGCATTACCTCTAACATAACTACTAATACAATTCAAATATCTTAATATCATAAACAGACTTTCAAAGATTTGGGAGCTTGTGGATAATATTCAGTCACATGCCCATAGTCGTGACTACCGAAAGGTGAATCATTCTTTGCTTCTTAAGACTCTTATCTCCTCTTGGCTTTTCCTTCTAATTATGCTAAGTAAAGACAATATTTTATAATGTGCCAAATACTACAATATACATTTAGAAGATGAGGAAAGAGTGTAACCTTACAGATCCTTTCTCTATATCAAAGAGAAAGAATCTCATAACTATTGCGCTTTTTTGGTGTATAGAAGCCAGATGGTAACGGCATTAAGCTTTCAATCTTCTCGTAGTCAACTGAGAGGTTAAAAGATTGGTAGCAACTAAATTGAGGGCTCGGGACAGCATCAGCAAGGGAAAGTCCAAGAAGAAACTGGTGACTTTTATCCCTCCGGCTACTTTTGGAATTTATGGTAAGAAATAAAAAAGAGTTTTTGCTGGCAACTGCCCTCCTTTTAACAGAATCAGAGATTATTGGTCCCAGACCTTGCATATTTTATACAAAATTCATTCTCTCAGAGAAATTTACACGTTCTTGGATTGGGTTCATAACGTAACCACCACTAATCTTTTAGTCTTACCCATTTTATTAAAATTTTACAAAGGGAAGGATAATTATGTTCAATCTCATCAACCAAGTGTGGGTAGATTGTAAATCTTCCTTGCCTCTGGTTACTATAATCAACTCTCAAGCAAAATTTATTATAATCCCAACTTGACTCTACTCTACTTGCTTTTACTTTGAAAATCCTCACTTGTCATTACCCATTAAACTGCCCAAATGTAAGGATCTCATAAACATTTTGTCCAATTCTCTAGATCTATTGTAATTTAACAGCAACCCTTTGATGCCCTGTAAATACATTAATCTTTTCCTTTTACACACACATTATCAGCGTTAATTACTTATGCCTTCATAATTGGCAATTATTCTTTAAAGAATAATTTCTAAAAGGGAATCTTTTAGCATTTCGTTGGTGCCATACAACTAATATGTTTGAAAATTATAAACAGCATAGGAAAAAAATAATCTTTGAACTTATTAGCTATGTGCTCCAAATAAAGAGGCCACCTACAGTTCAAATTGATGCATAATTGAGTAAATAACAACTAATTTAGCAGTCATAGTAATAACTTCCACTTCATCCATTACCAAGAATTGGAGAGAATGCATAACCTGATTTGTGCACACCAAGAATTTAATTTAAAGAAATAAAAGTTGAAACTCTGAGAAATAAAGAACAAATTTTTATCACCACCCATACTCAAAAAATAATTAGGACTTACATGAGGAAAATATTAAGTACTGCAAAATAATTTCGAATTCATAACTCATGAAAAATGAACTAGAACTACTTCCATCATCACAATACGCATAAGCAAAAAATATCATGTTCGACCAGAATGAAGACAATCAAAGAGGCAGCAAATACCTGCTCTGCTGGTCTACTTAAAGCAGGTGGAACAGATGCATTAGCCGACACACCAGAACCTGATAGTATATCTTTGAGAATGCCACTAATCCCAAGTAGAAGTAATGTTTTAGCTCCCAGTGGGGACCCACTCGCACAAGTGGAAAGCAGCCGGATCAAACCCTGCATGCATTCAAGTCACAAGACTGTCCTAACAACTGAACCAAAAAAAAGAACTACCTTTCACTTTACCGTATATGTTGATGTGCTGAGTGATGCCTGTCCACCTCCAGAACTGCTGGTGGAAATCAATGATGCAGCCTGCGTAACTAGTCCATGATTGCATAGCTCATCTAATTTGTCTGGTGATGATGCAAATGCTTCAGCAATACGAGTCAAACAGACAGAAGCATGCTCCAATACCTACAGAACATCATAAAGCACTCAATGCAGATAAAACCAGAATTACAAGGGAACTAGTAAGTTTTTACAGTAAGAACTAGTGGAAGATAATACTACCTTTGAATCATGATACTGAAGGAGGTTTGTCAACAGAGGGACAGCTTCCATAACATAGTCAGCGGCATCTGAAGGAAGTTTCTTGCACATATTTGCAGCAGTAGATAATGCTACCCGCTGCAACACAAAACCAATTACAAGGGAAAATGCTATTAAAAAATTCACACATGCATACGCACAATGGATTTAGCACCTGAAAAGTTAAAAAACCAGTTACCTGAACTCCCGTTGAGAAGAAATCCAGATATGAAAGCACTGCCATTAGGGCCCCAGCTCGCAAACAGGCAGTAGGATGTTCCTGTGAAATCTTCTTAAGTGCTTGCAGAGACTGTTCCATTATATTCACAATCAATATCAGAATTCATAACTGAGAAGCTATGCTCCAAAATTGAATAATGAGTTAATATCTCTTTAAGCACAGGTAATTGATGTTTTATACATGTGAAACAGTAATGCGAGGCTCAATACTGAACCTCAAAACTAATCTCAAAACGCTTTTCACCATTTGCTACCACCAATATGCCACTTACACTCACTCCACTCTCCTTTTTTCCTCATTTTTATATTTTTAATTCTTAAACTTCGATTGAGTTCAACAGAATCAGTACACGGGTAAGACCCCTTGTTAATAAATCTTCTTTTTTCTTTCAAACATAAAC